TTTGAACTTTCGGGTAAGGAAGGTGTAGTGCGTCTTTTTAAATCTCAACCACCAGCTACCAGAGCTCAGCTTGAGTTGTCCACAACAAAGCATCAACAGCCATTGGGCTAAAAATATCCAAAACACATTGAAAGGACAATTCCACAGACCCCACTCAGAAATCCTAAACAAATAGAAACGGCAAGCATATCTAAGTAATCACACAGATATTGAAACGGCAATCATATGCTAAAAATCTCCAGGCATAGAAAAGTGACAATCATCTTGTTTGAACAATCTTTGAAAACATATTGAAATGACAAAAGACCATCTGGAACAACAAACTATACTATAAAGGCACTCATAAGTTGCCAGCAGAGTTTCAAAGCACCAAGAACTGGAAAAAAACGGCAACTTTTTCTCTCCTTCACACATATTTGATTTAAAAAACCCTCAAATTCCAGTTTTTCACTGCACGTGCAAAAAATATTTCTACCTTGCCCCGAAAACAAAAAGAAAGTACACTCTGCACTGTCAAGGCAAAACAGGAATTTTTCTGAACACAAATGAATATCAGGGATCATGGAGCCCCCACCCCAAATAAAAACTCAAACAAACTTAAATCTCTTTCTGCAGAAAAATTCTTAAAAATATTTTTAATGTAGGCATTCTTTTTTTATGCCCCAATGGCCACAATTTAGATCAGTTAGGAGGCCAGCTTCTGACCTAGCCTACCAGGGCCAACTGAGGTAGAGACGAACTCAACATCCCAGCCGAAAGACTCAAATACTTGATAAAAATTTTCTCCCCACTCTGGAATCGAGCTAGGGTCTCCTGCTTGCAATGGTGAAACATGCTACCGCAACACTACAGACTCTGGTGTTGCAAAAATTCAACGCAGAATCACAATCTGAACAAGGTAAGGAACCAACACGTTAAAATCAGTTACTGGAATTCTTTAGAGAGTTGCATAACTCAGCAAATGTAAAGAAAAAAATATGAGGATTGAACAAAGCATTTTTTTCCATTAACAATACTAACAATACTTTACTTTGGTAAGTTCATGAGGAAACAAAATCACATCTCTGACAACACTGAACCTGACCAATTAACTATGACCTTCGTTGATGTTTGAAACGTGTAGTCTTACAAAACAACTGTTTAAGGTCTTTTTCTTTCCACAGCATCAAGCACCCCATCATCTGTCACTCTCGCATACTGACGACACAATACTTGCATATTACATGCACATACCATCCACTGGGCACACACTTCCACATCGCTAGATCTAGAACAAAAACTTTAAAACGACAAAACATAATTCATTCACCGTGTAACATGCCTAACAGGACAACCTCGTATAGAAACATTTGAATAAAGACACAACAAGAGATGACAACAAAAAACAAGTACCACGTAGCAAAGTAGTCTAGCCCACACATAAAGCCCCGGTTACACGCAATGATAAATTGTACCAGATTCGTCGTATGTGAGAACTGTCCGTATTATCCAACTGCGTTGTTTGTTTAACGCATTCAAATCTATTGTTCAGTTTTCTTTCGATCGAGGAGATTCCTCGTCATAAAGCCACCATGTCTCTTTGCGACGACAGCGATTTTCCTGCACTATATGTGAAGGTTTTGAGCTCGGGAGCTAATGAATGAAAGGTGAACACTGTACGGCACCTCTAGATCATGAGAGCCCTCTCCCCCCGTCCCCTGTACATTTAGATATGTCAGAACAGAGTATTTTTTATTTTAAAAAAAGGTGGCCATACTGTACCGTGTTGTGTGTAGAAAGAGCAGCTTTGACTCGACTGCGAGTGACCTCGACGCACAACATCACCATTGACGATCAGTCAAATTATAAAATGACTAAAATTTACATAATTTCGCATCAAATCAGGTTCCACGTGAGCTACTCTGTTTATTTTGAGAAGCTTATTCCAAATACGAAACCAGTTTTAAGATGCGATAACTATTTTTAAAATTTTGCACCGTAAGTTTAATCCTGGCAAATTTCAGTGATTCTACATCATGCGCGTCTCCCCCAAATCTGAACGTGATAGCACGAAAAATATCAAGCAGCACTTGATTTCTCGACTGAGTCTCCAAGCCATCGTCCAAATTTTGTACAATTTGGTGGTTACACCTACCGATTTATCGTATGATCGCTAGATCGTCCAGTTTTTGTACACTTTATCGTTACATGCAACCGGGCCATAATGAGCAAGCATAAAGTAAAACATGCACATTCCAGATTTTCAGGTCCCAAATTTTAAAAAAAGTATATATATATTCTTTGTATCTAAAACAAAGTACATAATGATATTCGTACAGCATGAAAAAAATTTCTGCATCCCATCGATTTCGCCATGAGTGTGCTTAACTGTATCCACAGAAAGAGCACAGAATTTTCTTATATTCTGAAAGAAACAGACACCAACACACAAACACTAATATTCATATTTCTCACCAAAAGAAACTGAAACAGTTCAGTCACACATCTGATCAGCAGAACGCACAACTCTCACTTGATTAAGTCTATTGCACAGATGTGGAATGTGGGTGGCTTTCAAGCAGCAAAACTGTCTTAGAACAAACAACACCGATATAGCTAGGCTGTACTTTGAAAATACTGTACACCGATCTAGCTGGGCTGTATTCTGAGCATACTGTACGTACTTGTCCCTAAATCATCTGGAGACAGCTGTTTGAGCAACTCATGCTACACTCGTCATGCTCAAACAGCTATACACACAGGAACCAAAGGGGAATGTGAAAGTGAATGAGCAAAACAGACAAGAGGTAAGGACACAGTTTTCCAGACAAGACGCATTCATTCTGGCTACTGAGAAACTTTGAAAAAGTTAGTGTGAAACAAAAGTTTCTGATTTAATAGATGTCCACAAATATATAATTAACATGAGGGACATTTCATAGCATGCAAGACTGGCACAAAATAATCAAAGCCCCCCCGAAAAACCCGCAGAAAAAGAAAAGAATCTATATTAGCACCAAACATCATGAAGATGAATTTAAAAAAAACAAAAATCTCATGAGAGATATTACACCCAAATCTTCCAATGCTGTCATGACATTGTGGGATTTCTTCAGCTCAGTTTTAAAAAACTAAATTAATACTGTACAGCCAATACTGCCTTATGTCCTCATCCATACAATTTAGGCATCTACAATGCCTGTAGGGCCAACTCAGGCTGTGAAAGGTTATTCAATCCCAGTAGAAAGACACTTGATATAATTTATTCCTCACATGGGAATAAAACTGATATTATACTAGTCCAAAACAATGAGCTAGGAAATATGTGTCCCATTATGTGCTCAACACCATTATCATTCCCAACTTGATTTTTAAAAAAGTTTCCCTTGCTTTTATCATGTTAAATATACTTGTCTACTAAGTGCTATCTCATTGTGGACAAGGCTTTAATAATAAAATCCTCACAAAGAAACCCACAGGATTCACGAAACATAGTACAACAAAGCCCTCAAAATCAACAATGCATAGCCGAGAAGTATCTGCTCCAAAACCAAGCAGAAAATGACAAACACTATGAGCCAGCCTTGAAAACATATGAAAATATCGAGGAACCAGTGAAAGTAACAATTCTGGCCCGAAATAGAAATACCCGCGCCACACACTTTCATCCTAACATCCCCATTCATAAAGACTTCTCAACAGCTACAAGATTCTTTCAATATAAAATGTTCCAAGGATTGACAGGAGTCAGTTTCAGTGACGTGGCCCCTGTGGCCACAACAATAAAAGGAAGTGGCTGTAACAATCAAAGGAACAGCAGAAGCAACTTCAGATAGTCCTTGCAAAGCCCAAGATCAAAAGGTTCAAATCTATGACAAATACAGATGCAGCCTTACAATCCTTTGCAAGTACAAATCAACTGCTCGGTGCAAAGCTCCACCATATGCCATTTTGAAAAGCGATATATGATGGAGACTTTCAATGAGCAGTTGAAATGATCCCACAAAAGAAGCATTTCCTATATATTTTCGTCACAGTTCATAACACTGCTGTTTTCTTGCTCGCCTCAACACTCTACTAGACAAAGAAAACCTCAAATGAAATCATATAAAGTGAGGCACAGGAAAAGAAAAATCTTTTTTTTAAAAATTGCCTTAAAAAAATTCTACTCACATTCAGACTCGCACATTTGAATGTCCTTACAACAAACTGTTTGTTTGTTTTAGTAGAGTTTTTACGGCGCTCGCAACTACATAAGGTCATATGAGCACCAAGGGGTGGTTGTCAACAGAGAAGTCCATACAGGGAATCAGGCTTCCTCTGCTCACCTCTCTGGCCTCAACAGCACAAAGTCTGCGTCAACTATCAAGGCACCCCGGAAAGAGTGGATCACAAGAGTGTGACAAGCATACAAAAGAAGTAGTGGATAAAATGATGATAGTAAGGATTAGGAAAGGAAAAGCTGCAATTCCCCGTTGCAGTTCAAGCATAGTTATGAGCACGACACCAATGAATCAGCCCATTTACAATTCTACTGTGTTTGAATGAGAAATGTCCCCCCTTTGGGAAAGGCCTAAAGATACTTCAGTCAGTAGCACCACCCCAGGGGGTACAACAAACTGTGCTGCAGGTAGAAGATAATGAGATGATAAAAGAAAGAGTGGACAAGAGTAGAAGATCACGTCAGCAGCAATGTTAACTTTGTATCTATTGTATTATTAAAGTGCGGGAACATATAAAGCCTACTCTGCCTCAATCAACGATAAACAGAATACAGTAGACTTCATTTTCCTTAAGCAAAGAGCTTATAAGAAATAATGTCTCCTCTCATTCATTATTCAAACAAAATAGAAACAATCCTATTTCAAGAAGGAGAAAGAAGACATGATACTGCGAGCCTATTTATCAATTATCTCATGCATTCATTAGGAAAGCAAAATGTTGAAACTGGCAACAAAAAAAAGGAAGCATGAAAGAAGGGCTTATGAGAATGAAGTAAGCAAGTAAGACTATTTTTTTTCCTTCAGACTCACAACTGACAATACTACATATACAATCTGAATAGAGAATACAAGAAAGAAACGGTGTAGCAGAGAGCTGCAAGGGTGCTTCTGAGAAACAAGTCCGATTCAAGGAGTTAGCCTGTTGAAAACAAAAAGGAACTTTTTGTGGTAGTTGATTTCAAGTTTATGGTGGGATGGCACTGTAACAGCCAAAATTCAACACGAATAAACTTTTAAAAGGAACAAGCCCAGACTATCACATCATATCAACAAATCCTCCAACCATCCAGAAAAAAGACTCGAAGACATGACCACTTAAAACATTTCTAATTTCGTTCAGGAATTCATGAAACTTCGGAAACGTTCTTGAACAGCAGTACCCCCAAAGCTCCCAGCTACAGCAGATTCTTAAAATCTTAGCATGGCAACACCCAAAGATGGCAACAAGCAGCACACTCACAATTATGCTCTTTGTTCAGTCACAGAAACAACATGCTCTAATATGATTAAGTCTCGCTGGAATTATACACAACAAAATTATATGTACAGCATCACGGTATTATACATGTATTATACATGTACTCTACACACAGTACTGACTACACACTGCGTTCAGGTGATCAGCACACCCTCATGAGCACAAGCTGTAATGGGGAACACAGTAGACGAAACTTAACTCAAGTCCAAAGGTCAGACGTATTATCAAAACCCTGCTGATATCCAGTCGTTATAAAATAAATGTTTTAAGTCAATAACAAATTGTCTCACTTAGGACTTCGAAAAATTCCATCACACATACCCCCAATCTACAGTGCACAGCAGTTGCCATCTTGCTTGAATGTCATAAACAGAAAATCGCTGGCTAAGAGTCAAACTCAGGCATCATGACTTTGGCCCCCAGTTTTTCTTTATAGAGATCAAACATGAGCTTTACATTTTTGCAGGTCCAACCTGACACATTCTTTCATCAAAATTATAAAAGCAAACACCTTTAGCTGTAGTAAAAAGTAAAAGTCGATACAATTTGTTCCTCTCCTGAAAACTTTTTCAAAATCACAATGAAAAAGTTTGCCTGTTAGCCGACGACATACGAGTTGATTGTACAAAAAAGTTTGGTTGAATAAACCAACAGCAAAGGAGAAGAGAGTAATTAATCTCATTTCATGCGCTGCAAAAAAAAAAATCTGAATTATGGAAACAGAGGATAAAGATCACTGTATTTCACACATCACAATTTCATAGGCATATCACTTTTATCAATCTTTAAATATAATATGTACCTTCATTTGAGAGAAAAAAAAACAACAAAGTGTGCACTCCATGTTGAAGCAATTTCATGCCCACTGGTAGATTCTTTAATGTCAGGAGGCAAATGGGATATAATTCAAAGAGGGGAAAAAATATATGTTCAAATCCAACCACCTCTTCTACATTTTTAGCTATTCAAAGAAAAAGGGCGGGAAATGCACTGTCCAGAAATATTTTGCTTCCATGACAAACCAAAAAAAACTGAGTGAAAACAAAGACAAACAATACATTGCAAATAATTTCTTTCATTTTGGACGTTTCTCGAGGAGAATTCGACAAATAACCATAGCACGATATCATTGCTAAATTCACTATACAAAATATTGAACACGGCTAAACTACTTGAAAGCACAAACCTGTAAAAAATTTAACTGTTTTATGATTGGGACCAATATCCATCAATGTATCAGGAATTTTAATTTATACTTTGCATATGTTTGACAGAAAAGGGGCAAAAGTCCCATTTCAAATTACAGCCTGAAACCAAACACTACACATTAGGCTATAAAGAATACTGTCAGAATTATCAACATATATTTGCGTTAAGAAACCAGTAACAAAATAGAAAATGTCCACAAAATTTCGAACAAATAACTGAATTAACAACTTTGTGGTTGTAGATGCCATTGAAATGTCATGGAGTGAGTCTTAACTTCAAATTATAGGGGAAAAACATTACAATTTCAACTTTAAACATGGGATAAAAAAGAGAAAAAAAAAAATTACCTGAAAGTAACAGATATATATTGTATAACACAAAAACAAAACCCTGGAGAACCATAGCTAAACCCGGATTAGTCAGCTAACATAGACTTGATGATTCGAGGTGTGTTGTCATCCTGCAAGTGCTTCGTTGTGTACCTGGGGAGTGGGACAACCCAGAGATTCATATTGAGGGTAGGGCGACAAAAAAACCGAAACCTATCACATCTGAATAAAATCAAAAAAGATTTTAGTAAGAGTCTTACAGTACTTGCAACACAATAAGGTCATATAAGTGCCGAAGATTAGAGGTGTTACAAGACAGTAACAAACACAAAAAAGCAGGAGGAGATGTTTTAGTTTTAGTTTTAGTAGAGGTTTTACGGCGCTCGCAACAGCATAAGGTCATATGAGCGCCAGAAGATCAGAGGTGTTACAAGAGAGTAACAAACATAAAAAAGAAGAAGGGAAGATAAGGACGATAGATGTTTGATAGGAAAGAAGGAGCAAACCACACCAGAGCACCCGCCAACCACCCACGAGGAGACGTTCGATAGGAAAGAAGGAGCAGACCACACCAGAGCACCCGCCAACCAACCACAAATCAATCTTTTAAGAGCAGTAAAATTTTTCTTATTCGTATGCTGCATCTCATGAAAAGTCTTTTGTCACATTATATTTCGGACTATTTTCATAGCTACAGGCCAAACGTTCTAATACACGGTAACCCCTTCAGAGTATCATATCTCAGTTATAAAAATTACTGTAAATGAGTTGGCCTCAGACAACCAAGCATTGTCACTTTAAACAAACAGCGCTATATGAAAGCCGTTCCATTTCCCTGCATTCAACATTTGACGAGAGTCATGCTGATTTTGATCAGGAACTTTGCAGGTCCTAAGATGGGAAGACGGGAAATTCAATGGGAACATTTTTTTGTCAGAAATGTTTGTTGTTGCCAAGACTGTATTTCAAGTGGCGTACTCGCTTTGAATCAAGGTGCCAAAAAACCCCCATATTTTTAACCATACTGGGTTTTTAAAAAAATGGGAAATGTAACAGCTTACTCAAATTGTAATTTTTTATCCACAGAAAAGGACTTTTCCACAGATGACATAGATCACAAACATCAAAGCATTCCTAAACAAAGCTTCAAAAACTACTTTTTAATTTTGATTTTGGCGTAGCATGACCATTTTCAGATTTTTTAAAAATAACTGAAAGAAATGAAAATGATAGTGTTACAGATGGAAATTCCATCAAAAGTCATTCTACCGTTGTTTGAGCAGTGCATCTGTTATTCTTGCTAGCTTTTTCAGGCCACAACACATTGAATGAAATGCAATCCATTATCCTTATAACAAAATTGTAGATCTCATGGCAGCAAATCCAAATGCCGAAAACAATAAAAGCATTTTTCTTTGCAATAAATCAATTGAACTTGTTGAACAAAAATTAGTCATGTGTAATAAGGTTGCTTTGACAACTTTTTGAATTCTGTGATTTTACATGTTCTTAAGCATATTTCTTAAAACAATGAAAAAGTAGAAGCTCCTTGTTTGATCTATGTGTCGTTGAATTGAAAATATAACAAATTATTTTCATTGAAAAAGTCACTTTGAAAAACAAAAGTCAAAGAAAAGGAAGCATTTTCAATCTAGTAGCCACAGAAAATTCTAAATAGAAGGAAGCTAATAAAAAAGAAGCCTACCTTAAAGCATTCAACAATGACTCAACATTTGTATGATCTTGGTCCTTCAAAATTTTGATGCATCCTTTCATCTGCAAGAACAATAGATTTATAATGTAAAAAAAATTATTCTTAAAAAAAACCCAACCCAACCCATTTCAGGTCAAGACACATGGACAAGTATGAGACAACAGTTACTAAACTGATTCCCGCAAAGAGGTTGTACTTAGTATTAGAGTTTGTGGCAGTGATGTCCCCCACTTAAACCAAAGGGGCTGCGTGTGCCCACCCTGGGAAGCTGAATCTCAGGGGCAAGTCATGCGCAGTTCAACAGACGGGTGAGTACTTTTCGAGACTAACGTGGAGGTGTCTCAGCCGTCTAAGAAGGAAATTTATAAGCTTGCACGGAAATATGGGGGCTGGCTGTTGTTTAATATACTAGAGCTCTTGTGGAGCGGGGTGGGGGCTCAGAATGTTTATGTAAATAGGGGCATGCCGGCCATGCCGATGACGGTAAGAAGGCCCCCATGTCTGACACGTGTGACGTCACTGCCTCAATCTCTAGTATTATATATAACCTCTTAAGATGCCTGTCATATCCGTTTATTTTTCCATCAGCACAGAAAACAACAATCATATATATCTCCAGGACAGATACGTTTTAGAAATTGTTTGAGCTAAATCTCAGGAGAATCACATCGACACCTTAAAGACCATTTAGAGTGAAGAAAAAGAGAGGACTTGTGGGTTAAAAGGTGGAAGGATCTATCATTCAATGGTGCTCTCAGTCCTCTATTGACCCCCCTCCCTCCCCTCCCCTCGATCATAACATGAAAGAAAACAAACAAAAGAAATCAAAACATGAAGTAATTTGGTAAAAAATATATACTGGAAATCAACAAGATTATGGCAGAAATATTGAAAATGAAAACATATTCAGTTTTTAGTAAGGAAAACTTTCATTATTTGATACTGAAGAACAAAACTGCAATCTGAGGGGCTGCAGGTTCTGCCTAGGGCCATTTTCTGGGTAGATTTTTCTTTGTGAAATATCTCTTGATATTGTGCAACTTAGAAAAGTCTAATTCTGCTAGAATAAAGACAGCTAATGACTATGTACACCCCTCTCCCTCCTTGACCCCTTCCTCTTTCAAGGTGTTCATATGGAGACAGCTAATCACAATATACACCTCTGTCCCTCCCTGACCCCTTCCTCTTCCTTTTTCAAAGTATCCAAACTCTAAAGCATCAGAGGTCATCTCCAAAGTGCTTCGGTCTAAGTGAAAATATGCAACACATAATAGGTTTCTGCAAAGCAAAACTTATGGAATGCACTATGTCTTTACATGATAGTGGGAAACTGATAGCAAGGATACTGTGTTGCACATAATCTACACTTTGAGAAATCTGACCTTTATTATCCAGCTCCCTCCCCCAAAATCAAACATGTGACACGAGCACACTTTTTTTCTGATTTAAAATATTTTCAGCACCACTAAAAAATCAAGGATTCTGTGAAAAAAAAAAGAATGAAGACAACCAATCCTCAAAAAATTTGAGAGAAATATGACATAGCGCAATATTTAAAAAACCCACAAACCTCGATGCCTGAAGTCTTTGCAAAAGCTCCAACTGGGTGAACATGGTCATAAAGAATGATGACACCGACCATAACACGAAGACAAAACAACTGCGTGTCATCTTTTATCCTTGACCTGTACTCCCTGGAAGTCGAAATGTTCTGCAGTTTAGTGCCATTCATTAAATGAATAATAATTTTTAAAAAGTAATAACAAAACAGAGAGCTAAGTATATACATTTTGCCCTATGCTCAGCAGGCCTTGTTCGAGTACACATCTCTCATAATTCTAAAATCACAAAAACCCCTCATAAACCTACAAATGTATGAAATTACAAAGAGGTTTAACGTCCCTTGCGACATTGCAAGGTTATTTAAGAGGCGGGACCTCCGCATTTTAAGTCCGTCTCTGATAGGACCAAGTAAAGATGGAACATTCATGAAAAAGTGCCTTTCCCAGGTCAGGGTCCCAGGGGCACAACGTCGGGTGGAGCTGAGCTTCAAACCCCAAAATCTGCAATCATAGATTGCAAGTCATATAGCTTGACCACTAGATTACCGATGCCATTTATCTGTAGACCAGACTGTGCAAACATTGCTTCAGGAACTTCTGTTCATGAAATGCTCAATCAAATATTAGCAACGAACTTTTAAAAATGGCATTTATAAAACATCTCTACTGAAAAGTAAAGCTCTACCCAACAATTTATTTCTAAATACCTCTCTCAAGTAACACCCCCCCCCACCAAACTAACAACCGAATATGAACGAGAATCTCTTTTACTTACGGATTTTCAATCATCACTCGACAAATGTTTGCCATCATACTGAGGCAATCTGTTGTCTGTTCTACTGGCAATTCCTTGTTCTGTTGAAAGAATCAGTTCAGTATTATGCTATGATTAAATCGATATGAAAATGGTTAGATAATTTTCTTTTCTTACTAATCTTTAAAACTTTACAGCACAAAAAAGAAAAAGATTTTGCTTCAAACATATTAAATTAATTTTTTTTAATCAAGGAAAAAAATAACATACCTGATGAGAAGTTAAGAAATGCGGGATGAGATTTTAATTTTTTTTAAAATGATACATTATAATATATATATATTACTTCCGCTATATCATAGCTGCCCACCCCTCTCTGTGGCTATCAGGGACAGCCTTGCTCAAAATCAGGGACATTTACTAATTATCAGGGACACCTTACGCATAGTCGTTATACATTAATACTGCACACCTGCCAACTCTCCCTAATTTTTCGGGAATCTCCCGAATTTTCGTAGTTTTCCCAAGCAACAGAAATCTTGTTCAATTTCTCGAAATTCACATACAACAAAAAATAATTATAATGTCAATGTCGTCAGAAAGCGAAACTGGCCTGCCAGGTAGGCCCTTGCACTATAATAGTGTAAATAGGTGAGTAAACCCTACGAGAGTTAGAGGAAAATATCTTAATATCATTATTATTATTATATTACTGAACCGTAATAGCATGCCCGTGACGTGATACCTTATTTTTGATTTTTGAAAGTTGGCAGGTTTGAAACTGGTTTGCACCCGTCTTCTGCTAGCGCCGAGGAAAGTTGTTCTGTCGCTCCGTAAAGTTTACCAAGTCTGTAAACCGTTGTAAATCTAGACCTACATCTAGATCTAGATAACCTATCTAGGCTAGTTTGTGTGAAAGCGGGAGCGACAAAACTAGATTGTGCTGGTCCCCTCTCGCTCTCTCATTAGGCCTAGGCCTAGTGCAAGTGATGTGTGTGGTGAAGGCATCATCGCGTTATGGTGAAAATGGAGGTGTGTGTGTGTGTCGGTGTAGGCCTAACCATCATGTGCGTGTAGGCCTATGGTGTGGTGACCTTGGCCTAGGAGGCCTAGTGTGTGCTGTCACCAGTCACTGTCAGTCGCCAGTCATCATTGCAATGGAATCTGGTTCCCCTCTTCGCTAGGTCTAATTTTTCTGTTTCAGAAGTATGCTTGCCAAGTTTTATTTTCTAGGACCATCAGTCAAAATCCGTATTTCCGGGACAACAGCGATTTTTCAAGAAAATCCGTACAAAATACAGATGGCCCGGGACAGTGGGCAGCTATGCTATATGTGGTCTTAGCTGAACAAAAAAATTTAAAAAGATGTGTGATGAAGAGAAAAGTGAAGATCATGTTCCCCTGAAGGTGAAAACATTGATTTTTTAAATTAAAATGAGATACACTAGTTTCTTGAACAAAGACAGGAATCTAAGAGACACGGGTATCCCTTACTCACCCCAGTAACAAACTTATCTGTGATGTCACTGAGTGCTTTTAACATGGGCGTTGCCTGGGCATAAAACAGTGACATCCGATTGGCCAGTTCGTTGGAAACAGCTTCTTCACCTGGTTGAACTTCTTCCTGTGGTTTCACAACAGATAATACAGGACGGAATTAGTGTATAAATACACCCGTAGATTAACTCTGGGACTTAAACATACATCATAATTTCCAGATTTAATTATTTACCCACTACAGTTGCTGATGGGTGCCGCTATTGGTAAACTGCTAGTCGCCAGTGGTCACCAAACGTATGCCTGACAACTGACACTGCCATGATATATATACGCATTCTATAAGGTCTAAACAGACAGTCTGATTAGATACGACTGAAAACACAACTGCAAAGACAAAAGTGGAGTCCTTCTTCTTGAAACTTGGTCAAATCCAACACTTAACAAAATTGAACAGCATGGGAAATTGGATTGCATGAACCAGTGTTCTTTCCCTAACATAAGTTTTTCAAAACATGTACTTTTAAAGGATTATTTCCCTTGTTCTATGGAATCGGGACAAGTGTCAAGACGGCTTCCGAGCAAACCTTATAAATTTCTGTGACAGATTAAATTGTTCTGGTGACTATTCGTTTTATGTCATGAATATATGCAGATGCCTTGTGGTGTATGCATGAGTGTATAAGGTGCCGTTCTATAAAAAGTAAGTATGAACTCATCTTTCTCATTGCAGAAATAGGTGAAAGCACACTATCGCTTTCTTTCACATGACAATTAATAAAGTATATGGCACCTAATACTACACAGGTCTCATGTAAATCTACAGAAGTACAGAAGTTTAAAGAACATATTGGACTGAATACAAAAGTTAATGTTGACTTCATATACATACAAAATTAAAGGGGGGGGGGGGGGAAACAAAGACATTTGGACCATAAGAAAAGAGTCTACAGTACTCCATATTTCATGGAGTTCATAAAACTTGCATTCTTACTAGCACCCTTTCAATCCCCCATTATATTTAAATGATGGTAAAAAAGCATCTCCCATATTATAGCAAACATTTTCCACTGCACTTCAATACAGACAATGAGTTGAAAAACAAAAAATATTTAAGACAAACATTTTTCAAGGCATTACAAAATCATTGCACGTGTCATGAACAAGAATTTTGTCACCTCATTTGCCATTTTCCTTCTGTTAAGTGTCCTCCTGTAATAACTGAAGTCATTCTGTACGGCAGGGGTTGTCATCTGCAAGAAAATAGGAAAATAGCAGATAAATAAGTTGATGAATTCAAACTACAAAGCAAGAACATATTCTTGTATTTGAAATGAAAGTTTAATTTAAAGACTAAAGAAAAAAAATAAATCTATAATTGTTGGGCAAAGATATCTGTGAACAATAATATTTAGTTTTCCTACTGAACATATTACAGTGTTATTATGGAGGACTGGTCAGACTCTCCACATGGAGTGCGAAAGAAATTAAATTCGATTTCCTCCCAACTAAGATACTTAATTATCTCAGAATCTCTCCAAGACTGTGGCATTCTGTATAGTTTGAGTAAACAAAAGTACATGGACACAATAAACTAAAGAAGGAAAGTAAATAAGTAGGACCTAGCAGTAGAACCCTCTACTATAACTGTTTACAACCCACACAGCCCATGTGGGACTTGACAGGCAATGTTGAAGATGCCAACCTTCTAAACAACACAAGTCATAAAAACAGAACTCAACAACTCACTTTGAGGTGGTCAAATTTGAGAAAGAAGTTGTACTGATGGGGGCCCAAAGCAAAATAGATCAACCGCTCACCTTGAGGACATGAAATTTGAGAATAAATTTGTGTTGATGGGATACATAAAGCAACAAAATTAAACTACTCACCTTGAGATCGTCAAATTTGAGAACAAAGTCCAAGATCTCGGCAAACTGTTTGAAGAGGGCCTGCTGTTGCTCCAGGTGCTCCCGCGGTGATAGGTCCTCTGAACACAACTCACCAAGCAGTTCTGGGATCACACGCTCTGAAACATGCAAGTGGCCAGTGAGCAGTAGTTTGTAAAATCTTCTTTGAATGTATGTTTGAGTAAAATAGAAGCACACAACCACAACAACAGTTTTTTAGTTTTAGTTAGAGTTTTAAGGCACTTGCAACACAAAAAGGTTATATAGGTCCCGAAGAAAAGATTATGTGTTGCAAGAGAGTAACGTACACAAAAAAGGAGGAGGAAAGATAAGGATGACAGATGTTTGATAGCAAAGATGGACCAACCACACCAGAGCACCTGCCACCCACCCACATGGTTGTTTAGTTTGTCTGTTTATTTGGGTAAAGACTAGCACATCGATCATTTAGCGCTAGTTTGGAAAAAGTAAGACAGACAGAAACAACAGAAGGAAAGATAAGAAGTCGGACCTACCAAAGACTCTCTCCAGCCACCTGCATTGTATCCATCATCAAAGTTTGGTTTAAAATTAGTTAAAGTCCAACGGAACTTTTTACATAATTAGGTCACACAGGTGCCGAAGAATACAGGTGATACAAGAGTGTAACAAACACAAAAAAGGAAGAGAGACAAAGACAATAGATGTTGACAGGAAAAAAAGAGCAAACCCCACCAGAGCACCTGCCAACCACCTACAGAGAGCAATTGTTTGTAACTTCTAATTTTTAGAGAAAGAGAAGCACATTTGCAAAATAACGGTCATTTGGCGCTAGGAAAAGTAAGAGACAGAGCAATTGGCGCTGATATGACCTTATGCAGTTGCGAGCGCCGTAAAACCCTCTTCTATAAAAAAAAAAAGACAGTAAGGTTCCCTTTCCAAACAGTAAAAGAAAGAGTGAAATATTCAAGTCTAGATCGTATTTAACAATGTGCTGGATATATAACCTTTAATTTTATTTACTTTCAAGTCAGTTGTGTTTGCAATATCAGTAATTAGACGTTTCCCATTCCTTTGTGTATAATTATCATGTCGAATAAGAATTAACATATTGTTGTAGAATTTCTCACATACAGCTCTAAAAGGCAACTACCATTCACAGAAACAAAAAGCTGATCCTCTTTCCCAGATTCAACTGGACTGGCATCTGTAGCGTAATAGTTTGGCTTGATAATTTAAACATAAAAGACTAGGGTTCAATTCCTGTGAGGGGAAATTTTCCAATGAACCTTATTTTCTACTAGGAAGATGCATCCCACTCAGCCCAGTTTAGCTTTAATTAAGTTAATGCCCCCCCCTCCCCTCGACAAAAAAAAAGAAGGAATAAAAGAAAGAAAGAAAGAAGTACGTTGGAGGTGAGAAACCTTTACAACATTTTTCAATCAATCAGGTTCTACTGAATACAACTTACCAAGTTCAAGAGAGAACTCAAAAAATACTTTCAATTTGGACACAAGAGGAGAGACAGCCATCCATGCTTTCTCCTGCAGCTCTTCAATCTTGGGGTTGGATATGGCCTGTGAAATGCAATGGACATGTTTAAAGTAAACTTGTACGCACACATGCACGCACACAGCCTATTACACATGGTCATGGAATAAAACTGAATCGGAAAAGAAAAAGTATGATTTATGCCCCTTATCCCCATCCTAGCTCTCAACATTAAATGCTCTTGGTTGCTCAGGAGAAGAAAAATCTTTATTTAAGGAAATCATACAATGTATTCCTGGACTGGCATCAACTTCTTAAAAGCAGTCTGAACATGGTTGGTCTGGTTATTGAGCCCTTCTCACTTAATAAAACAGTAGTCTAGATCGAGCAGTAAATATATCTAAGGCTGTGTCCCACTAATCCATCAACTTCATCAAATTCACATCTGTCCCTATGCTTTTGGAAAGAATTAATCCTCTCTCCCTTTAAAAAAAACAGTCATATAAAGATTACCTAGTGACAGTAGGACAGCAAGTCAACTAGTCTAAAATAAGACTTGTAATTTAAAACATTCTTCAGGTAAAATTCACATTTCACATCAACATGTCATTTGAGGGGGTGGTAGAGGGAGAGGGAGAGGGAGAGGGAGAGAGAGAGAGAGAGAGAGAGAGAGAGAGAGAGAGAGAGAGAGAGAGAGAGAGAGAGTTAACTGAGCATCCTCTTAACCTCTTCGCTGCCGCGCCCGTAGAACAGTGGCAGAGGATGTTTTGAAACCAATTATGAGGGAAGTTACTGCTAAAATCTTGTAATTATTATTGTGGTACCTTCCCTTTATGTTAACCACCATTTCCCCCAATTTGAAAATGTTAGATTCAGATTTTAGCTCGACGAGAAGATTAGATCTAGATATACACATCTACCACACAAAAATGATTTACTGGCAGTAAACCCAGATGGACTTACATGTATGGATTGTACAAGTGCTGTATAAGGTAGGAAAAGCCTCTTTTTTGAAAGGCTGCGAGAGACAACAATAGTGACCATAACTGCGGAGGAGTATGTCTCTTTCGACACGGAGGTTGAGACCACAGCTGAAAAGTCAGTCAGTGAGATAGTTAACAGCATCTTAGACAGAAAGGAGCCAGAATCAGAAGAGGAAGACTGCGAGATCACCCCAGAGGCAGAAGTATGTGGTATGCCCAGCAGAATAAGCAGGGTGAAAAGCTGTTCTCTATTCTAATGTCTGCTGAAGACAAGATCGACAAACTGACTTACTGGCCGAAAAAGCAGACATCCATCAAACAATTTGTCAAGAAATTAAAGTGAAGAAGGCTGGTGGCAAGCTCACTGGATCCCCCCCCCCCCCTTTATTTGTCTCCACCTATCACATTGTATGCTAAACTGAAGATAACAAAGCGACCCCCTCCCGCTTCATTTGCACACACCTCCCCATCTATCAACCTCTCTATTGCAGCCATACGTCTGTTGCTTTTTTTCTTTGTTTACTGATTTGAATTGAAATAAAGGCATGACCAAGAAACATTTTTTTTTAAAGTCAAAAAGGGAAAACTAAAGAACAGATTATAATGTAGAATGTATGTGCAGAAATTCATTACGAAATATTCATAAATGAAAAAGTTATGGGAGGAAGAGAGGGGTCACCCATGAGCAGTCTTGGTTCACGGGATTTCCCGCGGCACAGGGGCCTATTTATCTGCGGCATTGAAGGGGTTGACAAAATTTAAAAGAAAAAAAAGATCAGTTCCTTATTATATCAGGATAAAATAACATGTCAAATGTAATAAACAATTTTCCTCATACCATTCTGATTTCCTCTGTAGCACCCTTATATCTCTGTAACTCCATTACAATGTCAGTGGCTTGGTCCAAGACTGATTTGCAAAGGTGCCACACCCGCTCCTCAGACTCTGTTGGCTGGACATCTGGGCAGAGAAAAAAAGGTAAAACAGATTAAATAGAATTATATAAAATCAAATCAATTAGGGTGGCACTCCATAATTTTCCCTGTCTTGTCTCTCATTGCGAAAAGGGTGGAATTGTATCCATAGGTTTAATGCCACTTGCATGACTGTAAGATTTAAGAGGCAGGACTTTCAAATTTAACTCCCGCCTCCGAAGGACTTGGCCAGAGAAGGGAAAATCTGGGGAAAGTGCCTTTCCAAAGGACACGATGTCAGACTGAGCTGAGCCTTGAACCCCCAGAACCTGCAACTTCACGATTACAGGTCCTATACATAGCCTAACCACTAGACTGCAGACACCACACACTTATTGCCAATATGAATATATGGCTAAAGGGGGAAAAAAAAGTGCTCGTAACCAAGTCAGCTCACTTCGTTACACAGTACATAGTAAAAATTCGGCCTAGACAGTTGACATAAATGGATCAGTATAATTGAGAACCTTGCTTATCAGCTTTATAACAGTTATTGCAGATATTGTCTCATTCAAATTTTTAGAAAAATACTGAACTATAAAATTATCAATCAATACTGTTTTCAGTAAGAGGCAACATAAACTTGAAAAAAAAAAGAGAAACCAAACATTTCCCGACACGCACAGAAGGAGGAAAATAATGAATGCACTTGACAGTTCCAATATTTGTTTTCTTTCATGTCTGCCCATATTGGCTTACACAACAAATATTTTCGAGATATAGGAACTTATTTTAAAAAATAAACTGATAACAGCTCTATTTTTGTTTCCCTATGAGTTGAAATGCACTTTAGAGTGTGTAAGCACAATTTTGAAAACAGTCACAGGCTTGCGATATATAATAGGTATACAGTTCGACCACATAACAGTAATACAGAATAACATTATCAGTTGCAAAGACTAAACTAATAAAAAGTTGTAACATTAAAAATGTTTAAAGTGACACATTTCCATGGGTAAAAAACAATCTAAGAAACTGTGGCAGGTGGCAATGTGTACGTTTACTTATCATTCAGCATACTTACTCTCAAAATCAACGAAGAAATTTTCAGAAGCCTTGGAAGACGGCTGGTCATTGTTCATCAAGATACGAAGAAGATTTCCCATTTTACAGCACTCTGCTGAAGAAAACATATGATCAAGACAAGGACAAGACACAAACCACTTCAAAGTGTTCTTCTGAGGCTGATTAACATTCAACTGGCATTCACACTGCACACTTTATATAGCAGAATGAAAGGTCAGGGTTCAAAGGCGTACCACCTCCACCTGAACATATGTGCCGGAGGGCAGAGAATATCAGAGATGGCAAGTTACTCAATCTAGTATCCTAGCAAATGTCACAAGATAAGGTGGGATTCGGGATAACCACTACCAGCTAGTTTGAGCAAATAGGCTGATTTTTATCAATCCACAAATATACAGAAAGATTTCCTCCTTCCACTTCCAAAGCATAGAATAATACCGAAAACTGTTGAGGTAACAACAAAACCAATCTATTAGTTTTAGTTTTAGTAAGGTTTTACGGTGCTCGCAACTGCATAAGGTCATATGAGCGCCAAGGGGAGGATGTCAACAGAGAAGTCCAAACGGAGAATCAGGCTTACTCTGTTCACCTCCCTAGCCTTAACAGCATAAAGTCTGCTTCGACTACCAGAAGGCAGCCCGGAAATAGCAGTTCACAAAAGAGTGACAAACATACAAAAGGAGAAGAAGAAAAATGATGATAGTAAGGGTGGGGAAAGAAAAAGCAGCAGTTCCCCTTATGTTAAATAAGCTTGAAACATAATAAACAATGACACTCCCTGGGTTTTTTCTGTGAGGTAAAAAAAACAAGGTAGAGTAAATCTTCTACAGATCTAGTCAAATCAGGAAAATCCCACAAAACAGAAAAGCACAGCGAGCAAGTCAACTATAAATGAAATTTGTACTTAAACTAAGTTCTAAAATTAATGTGTATTCAACATTGCTGATGGACAAGTTCACACCACTGAAACAACACCTAGTCTAAAAGTGTAAAGAAAAATAAAACGATCAATTAATTTTAAATCTAGCTTGTGTTAAGATTAAAGAGGTAACCAATATTGCTAAATTTTCTGCTCTTGGACAGCTCTACAGCACTGAAACATTATCTTGTCTTAAGAAGAATAAAAATTGTTCACAAAAGATTAATAGATTTTTATTGTAGCTTCTGCTTGGTCCAAAAGAGGCAACCAATCTGTACATAAATAAATTCTGTTTAACCTGCCCCCCCCCCCCTCCCCCCGTGATCTAAAACGTAGGCCTACAGTTCTATAAGTACAACAGACACCATGCCCTGATCAGTTTACTGTAAATTTTGTTTTCTTCTTTACCAAACTATTATAATCTGTTTATAAAATTTGACTGCCTAGCTGATTATATCTTTTTTTCCCGTAACAATCTTACCACACTAAAGAAAAAAAATCTTGAGAGAATGGACCTTTAATGAAACTTGACTGTTTAGTCCATCTCCCTGTTGCTCATTCAATGTAACTGTTTCAAACATATAAATAATTGTCCAATAAAATTCATCCTTATGATTATTTTCTGTCTGAAAACTTATTCTTCAGTCACACCACAGTCAAATCTTAACTTCCCTCTTTCCTTTGATGGGAAGAATTGAAACAATGTTAATAACTGAACAGGGTAGTGAGCCACAAAGTTCTTCATTTTAATATCAAAGCAACCAGCAAGGTATAGTTGGAGGAGAAGCAGAAATTAAGAACAGGGAGAAACATCTTTTAAACCACTGGCAAATATTATAAAAGCAAAACTGGAAAGTTCAATGCTACAGGAAGAAGGACAAATTAATAAAAGCACACAATTTATCGAGAGATTTTTAGAAAGTCTTTTTGGCAGAATGTCCACTCCATGACTAATGAAACCAACATTAACATTAATAAGAAATTTACACTTTCATTGTTAAGGGCATGAATATTGAGTCCTTCCTTTGTTTGCATAATAGCAAAAGAATGGTTGCAATAAACCCATTCATTTTTTGTATACATAAAAGTAATAAAGTGAGTATTATTACAATACACAATATTCTCTTAATTAATCATGCAGTAGGAGACATTTCTAAATTTTTTGATGACTCTACTCTACTCTAAAATGTTGCATCAGTTTTAGATCTATAAATCTAAAGTAATGGTCAGCCCATAATCCTACCGAAAACATCTGATCATAATTTGTAAAACACCCTGATTTTCATACACATCAACAGGCTCCCCTCCCACACGCCAAACTATTCAAACCTTTAATAGATAGAAGGCATCCAAATAAACAAGTCTGGCTTTAGGGGGCAGTGTCCTTTCACTGGTCGTAGTACCAACACAATCTCTGTTACTAAACAAAACTTGTAAGAGTACAGCTGGTCTTCATGGAGATAAGAAGTCAGTGCCTTAGCCACAAGATCATCACCATCATCCAACGATCAGACCAATTTGTCTAAAATATTATTTCTAAAATTTAAAAACTCCAGTTCAACTACAGATTACATACGTTCCCACTGCAAGGTTGAAACTTCAAATCTCTGGCACGGCCAGACGTTGATTACAGCTATCAAATGACAGTTTGCAGAGATGCTTTGCAGGAAGCTGATAATGGGAGTGGGTATTATATCATGTATGTTCGTGCCTGTCTCCTTGCGCAGAGAAAACTGTCTGTCAGGTATTGATAATAAAACTTAGAGTAACCTACTTTTTAGTAAAAAGCTAGCTCCAGAATTGAAATTTATTCTACCATAATCAGCTCTGTAAACTTGTAACCAATTGCATCTCTATTCTAATGACTAAAATTATGACTCCCATACCTTTGCAAATCAAAAACATTTTTAGAAACAGTCTCCTTTGTCCACAGACTTACTACAGACAAATTGAATACTGACCATCCTGAGGCATAACGTAATCATAAAGGTGAGAAACACTGGACAAACACAGGATTAACTCTCTCAGGCTACAGACAAGATCAGACTTTGAACTTCTGATATTAACATATGTCACGATGAGATGGAATCGGGCGCTCGTCAATTTTTTACATGTGGAGTTATCACTACCATTCTAAAGCTTGTTCATTTGCCTAGCTTTCAGTGAAAAAAAATTACTCATCTATGGAAGTCGAGATATTTGCTATTGAAGGTGGTGGCGCTCGCCTGGTTTCAGAGGTAAAATTAGCGAGAAATTAGCCGCAAAAGTTTGGCGACTTCCAAAGCTTGAGAGTCCGTAGAAATTGCAAATTTACATTTTTGTGCCTCAAATCAATATTTTTCCGTAAATCCACATGTGTTTTTTTAAATGTACCTTGCAAGGGTTTAGTAAAAAAAAATTTGATAAAAATAGCCGTTTGACAGAAAAATGCCAGTTTCTTGGATTTCATTATTTTGACGAGCGCCTGATTTCACCATGATGCCTCACATACCTACTCTTACGTCTAAACTTAGGTCAATAACGACATGCAGAGAATTTGAATGTCATCACGCTAAGAATAGAGTTGACAGACAACAGTATTTATACGTTAAGTAATGCAAAAATAAAAGTCAGGGATGCCACCCCCTCAAACAAAAACCAAAAAAACACAGCAAGAAATGAGACTGAGAGAATTTAGCATGGGAACATTAGATTTAAAAGTGTCATCAGTTCTGATAATTTTCCAAGATTAACAGTCAGTGAAGCGGAAAAAGATTACGCCAAGCCAAGACATTGATCTAGATAGGCTAAGATTCTAGGCTTCTGTCTCAATATCACTATACTCTGACAGCTAGGACAAAATGAAACATCATAGGCATAATAAGTGGTAAGAATCTGAGTAAAAGGAAGACTATGACCTGGTGATATGGCTGGCTGAAGCAAATGGATAAAAAACGGTACCTTAATTCGTTCCTCTCTATAATATAAATGATGCCCAACTCTATTCGGACTCGAGTCCGATCATATTTTTTTTAGCTATTCGGACTCGATTCCGAAAATGGGTTTATCTTCTATTCGAACTTGGGTCCGAAAAAAAATGTTTTATTTATTCGGATTCGGCTTCTGAGTCATGTGAGTGTAAGGACGTTACATAATATAACTGTCGTCTGGGTATTTTACGCAAATCAGAATTTCAACTAGAATTACAGTCAAACCTGTGTAAGACGGCCACCCATTGTCAAGGAGAAAAGTGGTCGTATAAGACAGGTGGCCGTCTTAGGCAGGACTGATCAAGATGAAGAAAACAAACCATTCCCATCTGAGGTCCCAATCGAAAGTGGCCGCATTATTGTTGTTTTTGTTGTTGTTGGTTTGTATTTTGTTTGTAACTTTTATTTTGTTGCTGATTTTGCGCAAGGGTGACAATAAAACGAAATGTATAAGACGAAGAATAGCCGTGCAGTCTCGGCATTGAGAAGAATAGGACTGATGTGGTGCTAGCGTGTCATACGAGGCGACTATATGGCGAACCAGGTAGTGACTCCTGAAACAGAGTCATCCTGCCTCCAGGTTGGGGGTTGAGTCACGAGGCTAACAACTTCTCTCGTAAAAAGAACCTGTTACAGAAACACATACAAGCAAAAACCATTATGTCTGCTTGGCTGATCGTGGATCTTCTCCAAATGGAGAGTTTATGATGCAAGGCAGTGAAAGCCGAAAAAAAGCTGCTGGGCAGAAGCCTCCACCATCATCCAAGTCCAAGTCTCTTCGGATCGGCTCGTGGAACGTTAGGACCCTTTATGAGGCTGGAAAAAACTGCACAAGTTCTCCAAGAAATGCACCGATACCAACTACACATACTGGGAATCAGCGATACCCACTCGAACCAGTCTGGACAGAAGCGGAAATAGGACTAAGAAAGTGGCGATAGATGGGACACACCTTAAGAAAGCCCAGCGGAAACACCACAAGACAGTCACTGCAGTGGAACCCACAGGGAGCACGAGGCAGGGGTAGGCCATGTGAAACATGGAGGAGATGCGTGGAAAGGGACATGAGAGAAATGAAGCTCACTTGGAACGAGCTTGGAAGGATGGCTCAGGACAGAGATAAATGGAAGGAGCTTGTATGTGGCCTATACCCTGCCAGGGGTGAAAGGCATTGATGATGATGATAAGACGAGGAAGACCGAGTGCCATGTTAAAACAAACACATGGGTCACCACCACTCGGAGAACGAGCAACGCTTTTGTCACACGTTCATAATTGTTACTTTGTTACAGAGTGGGTAAACAGTGACCACTCATGTTGGAAGGACTACCTAACAACAACGACAGGTGATTGAATTATGACGGCTCGCCAACAACGCCAGGGTTCAATGCACATTTATGACAAAACGTAATGGAGTCACTAAGGTGGACCTCAAAGACAGGAGTTATTGCTTAGTGTGATAGGGGTTGTGAGTTAAAATATGGTGGCCACGGCCGCTTTGGAGACAGGTGCCCATTTTACACAGTTATATTATATAGAAAAAATGCAAGGGGGAAATGGAAAGTGGCCGTTTGTACAGGTGACTGTACTTGTCTTAATTTGTGTTGAGAATTTCAATTTATTTTGATCAGATTGTAGAAGGGAGGACAAGTTTGAATTGCTTGTCCGCTTCACATCCGGTAGCCTACACCCAGCGACTGCACACAAGCATCGGAGTTTGAGTCCGACAGAATAGCCACAGGAGGCTATTCAGACCCGAGTCCGAATAGACGCAACTAACATATAATATGATTCTCTGGTCTCTATGAAATAGACTGCTAAAAATCTAGATTGTAGATCACATTGACAGTGAACAAAACAGGCAAAATATTAACTCACTGACTGCTGTTACAGGTGCGTATCTGGGAAAGGATTACGCAATAAAATTGCCGAACCCGGAGGCCTTCCGGTATGAACTTTATAATTTTGTTCCATATTCCTCGGACACTGCAACCGGGTCTGGCAGTTTACAGCCGTTAGTGAAGCCATTGCAACGTGATAAATTACTAGTTATCGGCCTTACGCTTGCGGTTTTTTTGTTGCGATTTTCTTCCACAAGAGACCTATTCCCTGGAAATTCTCAGTTCTGTTGTGATTTCACTACGATGGCATCCAAGAAGCGGCGCAATATTTTTGATGCGTTAGCGGATGAAAATGATATGACCCGTTTCCTGGTGTTGATCAGACACTGAAATAGGTGAATTAGATGATGATAGCGAGGCTGATCCATCATTTTGAGTTCAGGAAGGTAAAAGAAGGCAAAGATTACCTAAATCTAGAATCTAGTAGTGCGCAGGATCTAGATCTAGATCTAGTCCTAGAACTAGAATCTAGATTCTAGATCTACTAGATATAGATCTAATAATTGTCCTAGAACTAGAATCTAGATTCTAGATCTACTAGATATAGATTTAATAATTAATTAGGCCATTTTTCAAAAACTCGTTAAAAAAAAGGCCGTCATTATTCGGACTCAAGCCCGAATAACATTTTTTCATATTCGGACTCGAGTCCGAATAAAAAAATTTCTTATTCGGACTCGAGTCCGAATATGATAAAATGTTATTCGGACACGGGTCCGGAAAAAACAAAGTGTCTTTGTTCTATAGATGCAACGTTCAGTGCTTCCAATTATCCGCCATTTTTTAGTTTCCACACACCTTATCTGCCGATCCGATGCCCGCCGCCTCATTGATACGCCCCCCTCCCCCCACCCCACATGTTTCCCACTTTTTTTGTTGTAGAAAAAGGTAAAATTGAAGATTAGCAGACCACCTGGTGCCTGCATACTATGAGCTGTGTAAAAAAAAAAAGACCGATTCGTTCAAATACACAAGCCTGTGTCATCTCGATTGTTTACCACCAAGAAAAAGTTGTGTTGCTGTGTAGAGCCGAGCATACGGCAACTTTTGATTCCATAGACCAGCGCACAATTCATACGTAGATCTACGTCAAGACTAGCCTTATTATTGTAATAATGATCAGTTGCCGGGGGGGGGGGGAGACTGACACGTATGCGACGTTCAACACCCGGACTCTCTCTCACACATACACACACTACCAGGTCTGGGCGCTGAAACTTTCCGAAATCACAAAAGAGTTCCCTCACCGGGTCTGTATACTTCGTGACTTTGTTCCCGGTCACCGGGTCTGTATACACTTCGAAGTAAATTTGGTCGTCAACAAAGATGCTACGGCTATTAACTTTTCGAATCGAGCCGAACTACGCGGGTCATCATTTTGTTTTACCCGGAAGTTCTCACGCTACTCCTCTCTCTCTCTCTCTTTCCACTGCCCACAGACAATTGAAAATGGTACGCTTTTTAGGCTTTTAGTTTTAGGCTAACAGTAGATCTAGATTTAGATTTCTAGATCTAGATCTAGATCTAGATCTAGATTCTAGATTCTAGATCTAGAATTATGGAACGTTTGTTCACGGCACAGAATTCTACAATTTTTCTGTTATCACTGTGTAAAATTCTGTGGTTCAGGGTGAATGCAAAATTGGTTGGCCTAGATCTAGACTATAACGGTGAACACACAACAGGTGAGAATAGCCAAAAGACTAGAGAATAGAGGTGGCCTTTTGAAAACACCCTAAACCTAAACCTAAAAACCCCGGCGGGCTACCGACTGTAGAGGCTCCATGGGCCTGGCAGTCAGTGAATTAAGATGCAATAAAAAATGTTTTTTCTAACCAAAGAACACTGAGGAGATAAAGTTTCAGAGAGCTGAGTTAATGAGCATCTCCAAGAACACCATCATGGTCATGGGAACAAACCTCAACACTGATGGCAACAACACCGTGGCCGTGACCGTGTGTGGACAAACAACAAGGAAGCTTAAAACTTGTAGAAGGTGAAAACAATTCAGTCACAAAGCATTCAATAGCAATTCAGATATAAGTTCAGAAACGGTAGGTAACAAAGAGAGTACATATTCGATAAAATACTGTCGGTGTTGCTTCGTACAGGTCTAGCCTAATACGAACCTCTTCAAAAGTTGACTTATAAATACGTGACGCCTCAACAACTTCCTTCTTCAGAATCGTCAGCCATAAGCCTTGAGAATTTAGATTTACTTCCGGTTCAGTTCAGCAGATCCAAATATGGAGCAAGAGCATTGAGCTGATAAGTCTCTCCGTTGAACATGGTTTTCAATGCTAGGCTATCTCTGCAAATCACGCCGTAGGCTAGGTTGAAAAAAAAATGGTCAGGTAAAATTTGATTTTTTAACTTGACAGTGAATACTTTTCGTTCGTGCTTGAAGATGCATTATGAACAGAGGCAAAACCTTACCCAGTGAAATCAAAGATTCTCTCTTGGCCCTACAGTGAGCACATAGGCTACTATAAATAGATTTCCCACGTGTGGAAGACAATACACTTGCGTCGTCTGCTAATTTCTCGGCTGATGATGCCGTCCCAGTTGAACTTGGCTTTTCTTGGCTAGTCCAGTCAGTAGATCTAGGCAGTTCCTCTTGTTTCCACCAAGGTGCACAAAAGGTGATGAGTAGACATCCCTCAAGAGATGGTAGTGTGTAGATCTAAATGTTGGTAACTCTTCGGTATGGCTGTTAGGAAATTCATATGCCGTGCATTTAATTTTGAAGTGTCAAGAGTTATGTTTTATGCCCCATTGACCTGTTGACATTGTGACTTGTCATTGATAACTGACAGGACATGATTTACTGTCAATAACAATGATGAGTTGAATGATGTAGATCCAAGGGGAAAACGAGGATATAAAGCCATGTTAAGTCACACAAGTGGTCAAAGTAGTATGAGTGACTTGGATTTAGACTTGGATGATTATATTGAGGTGCTTGTGAATAAAGTAGATGACAGTCTCAGTCATGATGATGCACATTTCACAAGTTCTGTTCTGGTGTCAAACAGTAACAGTTGTATTGGTAAAAAGGAAAAGAATGCCATTGTTGTCACCCTGAGGCCTAAAAGTGATCAACAATGTGATATAGGCCTACCGTATCATACGACATCGAAGCAACGTCCAAGTGTTGGCAGTAGCAACCTTGAGCAAGATAGCTCGACTGCTTCTAGTTCTCGAGTAGGACCACGGGATACGCCCATCAGAGAACCCAGTGCTTATAGATCTACCGATATACCTACATTTTTTAGCACCACAAATAAGGCTTACACCAGTCCAGATGTGTGCTTTGGAGAAGAAAGACTGAGTAGCTCTTGTCCTGCCCCTGGAATTGGAGAGTTTGATGTGAAAGGCCTTTGGGTTGATCAATTAAAATCAGATGATCATGTTGAAACTCCAGTTTCAAGTTGTAGACGGAGAATAACGCTTCCTTCTGTTCACGACAACAACAATCATAAAGATGAAGGTAAAGTGAACTCTAATACCAATAGATCTAGATTTAGATCTAGATCTTACTCGTTTACAGACTTTCAAATCGGTCAGAATCAACTGAATACCGATTTCTGCAGGCATTACTCAGGCTCAGGTAAATCCACTCATTCGGGCCAAAAATTCTCAAAATACAAGAATGTCTAGATTCTATACTAAATCATTTTTGGATAACAAATATTTGCTCAGTGCATTTTCCTCAGAAAATAAAAATGAATTTTTGAAACACGGAAAGGGTACATCACAACCATCATTGAGCCTGAGATCAGAGACTCATCCTAGTGAATTGTTTGATAATATTAATAATAGGCAATGTGCACCTGAGGAGTCAGTAAAAAGTATAACAAGTGAAAGCAAAGGGGGATTGTTGCAAAATAGACTATGTGAAGCTCAAATGTCTGTAAAAAATGAAGGGAATTTATTTGATACCGAACTTTGTGCAAGTCGACAAAAAGATCCACAATTAACAAGTGAACGGGAGTTGTCTGATGATGAACAACTTGCACCAGCTCAACTATCTGTGCAGAAAACAACTGAAGGGGAATTATTTGATAATGAACCATTTACACTAGCACAGCGATCTCCGAAAATAACAAGTGAGGAAGGATTATTTGATGATGAATCTTTATCTGTTCCTGCTCGACATTCTCCAAAGGAAAGAAGTGACGGGGACTTATTTGATGATGAACAGTCTATACCCGCCCAACATTCTCCAAAGGAAACAAGTGATGGGGAATTATTTGATGATGAACAATCTATACCCACCCAACATTCTCTAAAGGAGACTTGTGAAGGGAAAGTATTTGATGATAAACATTTCACGATAGCACAACAATCTCCAAAGGAACCTAATGCAGTGGAATCAGTTGATCATGAAAAGTGTGCTCAATGTTCTCCAAAGAGAGTGAATGATGGGGAATTTTTGAAATTTGATAATGAGAAATATGCCCCTCAGCCTCAACTACCTCAGCAAAAAATCATTCAAAGGGAGTTTTTTGAAAATGAACAGCTTGTGCTTCCACTATTGTCGAAGAAAATAAGTGCAAATGATCATGGACAATACAGGGCTCAACTGTCTCAAAAGGAAATATCTCATGAAACTTTTGAATTCAAAGAAGAGGTATCGTCTCCATATTTTTCAACGTTGTCTGTTGAAAATGTAACTTTATCAAATGTACTTGCCCAACATTCTGCTGAAAAAGTGGTTCCTGCTGAGACACTTTCTAGAAATGAGCCCCAGGAAACAGACTACTCCGATGTGTCTGGATTTGAGAGGAATTTATCCGCCAGTGGAGCCTTGCTGACCTTTCCATCACCAACTAATAGTCCTTCCCAAAAAGTTTTGCTTCAACCTTCAGTTGAAAATACTCCCATTTCAGTAATTTCTTCACCTTTGTGCAGTGTAGAAAAGGTGCCTGATAAAAGAAAGAACAACAGTCAAGTTTCATCTCCTGTTGAGTCAGAATACAAAAAACTGAAACTGTTCACAGAGGAAGACTACCAAGTCATGGGCCTTGTGTCAACCCCACCAGTGGGAAATGGGTTGAAGGAAGAGCCAGTACGGTCACAATCAACTGGTTATAATTGTGAAAATGAAAAACTTGAATGTGTCGAAGTATATCAGTCACCAGAGATTGTCCAATCAAATGATGGTGATATCAGTGAATCAGACCCTATTACTCCTGACAGTATTGTCAAGACCATCTCAAGAGAATTTTCAAAGTTTCATGCTCCTGAAACAGAAATTGCCAGACATCAGGATTTAATTGAAATGAAGCAGTATGAAAGTGAAAGAAGATCTCCTTCAGATGAGGATGCTATTGTAGTGACAAGTAAGGATGATGGCACAACTGAACGTATGATTTCACAAGGAAATGATACAGGAATAGAAATTCAGGTTAGACACAATTGTCAGAGAGAGGGTACTTTTAAACTGTCTCAGATGTTTGATTCAAACCCTAAGAATACTGGGCATGATGCTCAAGAGCCAGTTGTCGACCATCCAGATTACATTGGACTGGTCCAAAAGGAAAAAGAAACTACTTCTGGTGGGGATTTTGTCCCAACTCTTGGGGAGGATGTCTTTGTTGAGACTTTTCAGAAAGGAGAGTCAGATAATTCCGTTGTGCCTCAAAATCCTGATCAAACCTCTAAAGAAATAAAAATTCATCACAGTGATTCAATAGAAGAATCAAATGTAAAGGAATCTGAACATTCCTATGAGAAGACTTCAATAGAATCAAATGTAAAGGAATCTAAACATCCCTGCAAGATGACTTCTGTAGCCGGCTCTGTCTCCATCGTTGTCCAAGAAGAATATTCAGAACACATAGTTCCCAGCAGCAGTTCTAATGAAGCTGATCCAGTTATCTGCAGTGATGTCTCTCTCTACTGTGCTCATGAGGATACTGCCAGTAAGTTGAAATATATTTAAGAGATTTTATTTGCATCGTTTAATTGCTCAAGGTTTAGTATGAAATGTGGGAAAAGCAGAACTTGTTTTGAGAAATTAGATATCTTAAGAAGAGCAGGCTTTTGAGCTTTCAGTTTACAAGAAATAAGTAAATAATAAATGGTAACTGTTTACTCTCTTCTTCTTTTCCTTACAAAATGTTTCATTTTTGCCAGTGTTCAATCCTTTTACTTTTATCAGTGCTGTTTGGCTGTTTATTACCCAACCATCATTAATATGTGTTACAATGGGATAGAACCAGGCGCTCGTCAATTTTGGGGCATATAGGATGTTATATGCATCATCTTAAAGCTTGTTCATTTGTCTTGCTTTTTGTGAAGAAAATACTTGTACCCATATCAGTAGAATCGAGTATCGAGATATTTTGTATTGAAGAAGGTGGGGGGTCACTTGGTTTCAGAGGTAAAATGCAAGATAAAGACTGCTGGAGTTGGGTGACTTCCAGAGCTTGAGAGTCCCTGGTAACTAAATTTACACTTTTTGTGCCTTAAATCAACGTTTTTCTGTAAAATCCACACAGTAATGCATTTCCAAATGGACTGAAAAGGAGTTGAACCAGAAAATAAAAATTCTATAGGAATTGCCAGACAGGAAAAGAAAATGCCTTTTTCTTCGATTTCATTATTATGGCGAGCACTTGGTTTCACAATGATGTCTCACATATTCAACTGAGAGTAAAGACGAGGCATGTTATGCAATGTTGTGGCCACGAGTGCTATTGAATTTGCTTTTTTTTCTACTTTGAATTAATGAGTGACACAACTATTTCTTGTAATTTAGTTGGTAGTTTGAGTTTGAGTAAAAGAAGTATATAATTGACCTATAACGGTCGTATAATAATATAGTGTAGAGAAGAAGCAAGACAGAAACAACAGAGGGAATGAAAAGAAGTAGGACCAACCAGTGGCGCCCCCCCCCTCCACCCATTTCTTTTATTACATGATAGTCTTTTGTATAAAGGAAGTAGGAATGTCTTTCATATAATGTTACATAGTCAAAAATTTTACACAACAAGTTGGTTCATTCCCTTAGAAAAAAAGCCTCCTCCCCAATTTATATTATGCAATTCATGTAACACGAAAATCCAATTTATAGAAGTAGCCACCACTGCTTTTGTTTTAGTTCTCAAACGGAAGCAAAATTTTTTGTAAGCTTAATGATAAACACACAATAATAATGCACAATAATAATTTAAAGGTCGCCAGCTGGGCTTTTGAGAGCGATTTTCTTGATATTTTAAATTGAGGGGTAAGACATCTGTTAATCTATGAGCTTTGATTTTGATAGTATGTCGTATTATTATTATTACTCTTCTGCCATGCAGTCCCGGCATTGAGAAGAACAGGACTGACGTAGTGGGGCTAACGTGTCGTACGAGGCGACTAAATTATGGCGAACCAGGTAGTTACTCCCGAAACAGAGTCATCCTCCCTCCAAGTCGGGGGTTGAGTCACGAGGCTAACAACCTGTTACAGAAACACGTACAAGCAAAAACCATTATTTCTTCTCGGCTGGTCGTTGATCTTCTCCGAATGGAGAGTTTATGATGCGAGGCAGTGAAAGTCGAAAGGAAGCTGATGGGAAGAAGCCTCCACCATCATCCTAGTCCAAGTATGTTCGGATTAGATCGTGGAACGTAAGGATCCTTTATGAGGCTGGGAAAACTGCACAAGTCCTCCAAGAGATGCACCAATACCTGCTGTACTAGGAATCAGCTAGACCCACTTGAACCAGTCTGGACAGAAGCGAATGAATATTGAAAGAGGGGGAGCTTTTCATTTATTCAGGAAATAACAGTGATGGGCCGCGCAGGGAAGGTGTAGGCTCAAAAGATATTCAGAGGCTGGGAAGCGCATGGGCCAAAGAAGGATCATCATGTTCTCATTTGGAACTAAGAAAGAACTCAAGGAAAGAGATGGTAAGAAGAAAGAAGGTCATAAACTTAAACATCACACAACAAGTGTATACTCCCTACCAGTGATGCAGAAGAGGAGAATAAAGATGTCTTCTACAACCGCCTGCAGAGTGTGATCGACAAACTTTCAGGTAAGGACATCGACATTGTATTGTCATGGGAGACCTAAATGCAAAGGTAGGTTCGGACAATAGTCACTGTGAGGAAATCATGGACAGACATGGATTAGGAGAGGCAAATGACAACGGAGAAAGATTCCAGAACTTCTGCGCACATTCAACAGATTTTTTTTTGGAGGAACAATCTTCCCTCATAAAAGGATCCATAAGGCCACTTGGGTCTCCCCAGATGGAACAACGGAAAACCAGATTGACCATTTGTGCATCTCACGAAAGTTTAGATGCTCACTGAAGAACGTCCGAGTCTTACTAGGGGCAGACGTCGCATCAGACCACCATTTGATTCTTGGAAAGATGAAACTGAAACTGAGAAGGCTTTCACAAGTCACAACCGGAAGTCGTCAAAAGTATAAAGTGAGTCTTCTGAAAGACCCAGTAAAGAAGGTTGAGTTCAAGTTGGAACTGAAGAACAGATTTCAAGTCCTTCAAGATCTGGATGAATGTGAAGTAAACGAACACTGGGACAAGATAAAAGAGGCAGTAAACGCAAATTGCCAGAGCACCGTAGAACTCAAAGTCAACACCAGGAATGAATGGATTTCACAGGACTCTCTAGACAAAGTAAAAAAAACCAAGAGAGCTAAAGGCCTAAGTCAACAACAGCCATACCTGAACGGAGAAACTCACTACACAACAAGAGTACACCGAAGTAAACCGGGAGGTAAAGAATTCCATCAAGAAGGACATATAGAATAAGAAATGAAGAGCTGTGGGAAAGGACATGACAAAAGGATATATAAGTAGAAAAGGGACTAAGAAAGTGGCGATGGATGGGACACACCTTAAGAAAACCCAGCGGAAACGCCACAAGACAGTCAATGCAGTGGAACCCACAGGGAGCATGAGGCAGGGGTAGGCCACGGGAAACGTGGAGAAGATGCGTGGAAAGGGACACGAGAGAGATGAAGCTCACTTGGAACGAGCTTGGAAGTATGGCACAGGACAGAGATCAATTGAAGGAACTTGTATGTGGCCTATACCCTGTCTGGGGTGAAAGGCATTGATGATGATGATGATGATGATTACTATTAAGATTTTTTTGGGGTTTTAAACCAGTTCTGGGGGGCTCTCGTGGCCTAGAGGTTAAGGTGTTCGCCTCTCATTCAAAGGTCCCGGGTTCGAATCCGGGTAGCGACCAAAACATTTTCTTCTCCAAAATTGTCTCCTTTCACCTCCTTCCCTGCTCTTTAGCAATGTTCTGTCGTCTGCTTTCATTTCCACTTTCTGCCCCCACCCCCTCACCTCCTTTGCCCCCTCCTCTGGGCTCCTGACTCTTTCTGCAGCCTTTCTACTGCTACTCCTTGGCCCCTCCTTACTGCCGTCTTTCTGCCACACTCCTGATCTTCTGGTAGGAAAGATCTACACCTAGCCTTCTCGGACAAGGGCGAAAAATCTCGGAGGGCCCGTGTGCAAGTTGCGCACGCTAAAGATCCCTTGGTGGTCTAAAATCGATAAGAGTAGGCTTCGGCCGCCACCCGGGCAAAATTCAAAATTTCCTACCAACTGAAAATATTAGGTGTGTCCCGCGCGCTCATATGACCTATGCAGTTGCGAGCGCCGTAAAACACTTTACAAAAAAACAAACAACAAAACCCCCCAGTTCTCTTTCTTTTTTCCCTTATCTTTCCAGTTCTTCTTTTTTAGACAGTCAGCCCGATGTCGTGCGCAAACTGTGCAGTCCGCTTCAAATCTGAGAGACTGCCATAGAGCTTTCTCTCAAGAGGAGTAACATTCTGCCACCTCTGTGTACGAAGGGTGGCGTAGCGCGGGCAGTCCTGAAGGATATATGTTTGGCATCCTCTTGGTCGTGTCCACATTCGCAGATCGCGGACTCTCCCACTTTTAATTTAGTGTGCATATGGTGTTTGAGTATGTTGTGGCCACAACGGAGTCGAAAGATTGTGACCTGTTTGCTCTATTTAGCATGTGTGTAGGGGTCACGTCTGTTGTAATTAGGGTGGGATCTTTTCCATCTGTTTCTTATGGCAGATTCTATTTGCGTTTTTGACTCTGGGAGATCCATGCCATCCTCAACCAGGGTCATTTTGCCTCCTTCTTTGGGTAAATCGTCTTCTTTTTCACTTCCATGAATGCCACAGTGATCTGGTATCCACTGCAGAGTTGTGTTGGCTTGTGAGTTTATATCACATAGGAGTGAAAGGAGTTGTCGTACTTGAGCAGATTGTGGCTTTTGGAGAGATTTTTGGTGATTCAAGAGAATGGTGGCTGCTGTTTCGAGTCCTGATGTTTCTGCTTTATAGTTGGAAGATAGAAATCCTGTGGGGATGGAATGGCTCTCTGTTGACCCATCTATCCTCTCTATGTAGATACCCCCACCGCCGTTTCTGACTGCATCAGTTGCTGATCCATCTGTGTAAACTCGATTCCACCGGTTGCTTGGGAAGTTTCTGTCCAGGTAGTCGAGTGTCAGTGACTTGAGTATCGGAGGATGGACTTCAGATTTGGTGCCAAGCTTTTATAGGTTCTCTCGAATTTGAGGGGGGTGATTAGTCTGAAGAGGGTGGATCCGTAGATTTTGATGCTGGATTCTCACTACTTTGTGGAAGTTGCTGTCTGATGCTGTTCCCCAAGTTGCTATACCATATTCCAGGACTGGGCGGACATATCCAACAAACCTCGTAAGATGGTGTGATTTGCTCCCCAATCTGACCCTGCCAACTTTCTAAGCAGTGCTGTTCTTCTCTTACCTTTGCTTCTGCACCTCTCTGTTTGGGCTTTCCACGTTAGTCTTGGATCAAACGTCACGCCCAAATAGGTGGGATTTGACTCGTGTTGTATAGTGTTTCCGTCAAATTGCAAGTTTACCTTTCGGGGTTTTGGTGAGAGGCTGAATGTTGTGTACTTGTTCTTGTTGATCTTCCATCCCCACTCCTCTGTCCACTTCATCATGTTGTTCAGTGTGCTTTGGGGTCGTACCTGGGCTGTTCCCACTGATTCTGCCGAGTATGAAAGAGCGATGTCATTTGCATCCTCCGCTGCTTTCACTTTTTTGGTGATGGTTGAGATGTCGTTGAGGAAAATCAGGAACAGGGTCGCTGATGAAACTCCCCCTTGTAGGACTTCATTAAGCCCCAGTTACTCGCAACGATAAGTTGTGTCAGATCCGTTGTATGAGAAAACTGTCCGTTTTTATTGAACTGTGTTGTCTGTTTACACGTTCCAATCTATCGTCCAGTTTTCTTTCGATCAAGGAGATTCCTCGTCATAAAGCCGCCATATCTCTTTGCGACGACAGCGATTTGCCTGAACTCTATGTGAAGGTTTCGAGCTCTGGACTTAAGAAATGAAAGGTGAACACCGTACCTCTAGATCACGAGAGCCCCCCCCCCCTTTCCCTGTACATTTTGATGTAGTAGAACAATGTCTTTAGAAAAGGGTGGTCATACTGTACCGTGTTGTGTGTAGAAGTACACGTAGAAGCTTTGACTTGACTGCAGATGTGCAACGCATCAAGTGACCTTGATGCACAGCTTCACCCTTTACGATCAACTAAATAATAAAATTGCTAAAATATACATAATAACGCACCAGATATTCTACTCTGTCTGGGGATATTTCTAACTTGCTCACTTCCTTGTACTGCTGAATGAGTAGGTTTGTTGCTTGTTTATCTACGTTGGACTCGCCATCTTGGTCAAGTATTACTGGTGAATCACTGTTTAGGTTTTCTCCATTTAATGATCTGACAATCCTCAACAGTTTGTTTCCTTGTCTTTCTAACTTTATAAGAAGCTTGTCTTTTCATGCCAACTTTTCCGAACAGCAGAATTAGTTGCCTTCTTAAATTCCGCTGCAGCTTTCTTTAGTTGAATGTTGTTTTCTCTTGTTGGTAGATTTCCAACTGCTTCTCTTGCTGTGGTGACTTTTCCGTTAAGCATTCTATGCTGTTCAGACCAATTAGTAACATAGTCCCTTCTAGCTCCTCTAGGGATGGACTCTTTTGCCGCTTGATGTATGGCCTGTGTGAACTCCCTCTCACTTCTATTGGTGTTTAAGGTTTTGGCATACATTTTGGTGGTATACATTAATTTGTAAGAAATGCAAATTTAGTCCAGTCTGTCTTCTTGTAGTTCCATCTAGGCAAAGTGCTAGTTGAAACGGTGTATATGTGTTTGTGGGGGGGGGGGGGGAGAAACTTGGCTGGTGATTAAAGTGGGTTTGTGGTCACTATTTGCAAGTTGTTCCATGACTTGTTATGTTGATCCTCTGCTGATGTTGTTGCTGACAAACGACAGGTCTGGGTGAGATGTGGTTTTCCAGGCTCTTGAGAAGAAAGTGGGGGGGGGGGGGGGGGGAGGGTCGTCTGGTTTTTGAGCAGATGTAGCTTAGTGAAAGCTTGCCAGTCTTCACGTTACTTCAGCGATGAGGTTTAACATCAGAGGCTACAAAACCTTTAGAAAGGATAGGAACTACGCACCTAAAGCAGGAGTGCTCACCCTAGTCGCAAACTCCATCCCGGCGCAAGAAATCAGGGTGCAAGATACAGGTGAGTCAGAAATCATAGGAGTCGAGCTCAAACTCCCAGACCGGATTGTAACAGTCTACAACTGATATGCACCTCCCAATAAAACTCTCACGCTCCATGTGATGGACATTCCAGCGGAGGACTGCTTAGTACTTGGTGATTTCAACAGTCCTCGTAAGTGCAAGATGACATTTTGATTTATCAGTTTGGTTTTCTTACTTTTCAGCCCAATTGAACAAGGATCCTCATGCAGATCACCATCGTGTTTTCCAGTGGACCAGCACAAGTGTGCAACATGAACTCAAATCGCACGATGACCATGGAACTGGTAGGATAACATTTTAGCTTTCCTGAATCATCCTGGATCATTACAATATGCACTGTTTCTGTGTTAATTTTCTCAATTACTCGAGTTGTTCTTCAACAGTGATAGTGTGGAGTATTGGTATGGAATTCTCTGCCTTTGAAATATAATATGGTATGCTTTAAGCCTATATTCATTTTGAATGAAAGTGTTAGGTATTATGTTGGTTTCTGTAGGTGACTGCGTTGGCATGAATTTTTCAAAAATTTAAATTAAATAAAGGAAAATCACAACTTTTGGATATGAAAAAATGTCTGCGAAAGAGTAAAGCAGTGCAAGTGCACCTTGTGGGTATACTCCGAGCTTTTGAGAAGGAACAATTTATTTTGAATGTTGGCTTAATTGAGCTTGTGGACTCCAGGCTTTGCCAGTATGACTTTCACAGCTCTGCCAACAATGTTTTAACGTTATGCATGTGTTTTTATGCCCCGATCAACACAACTTCGGTAATTTAAGAGGCTAGCTTCGACTCTGCCTGTGACAGGGAGGCAATGTCCCAGCAAGAAGACCCAGGATAAACTATAAAAAATTCTTCCCATACTGGAATTGAACTCAGATCTTCTGTATGCAACAGCAAAGTACCTAACCTCAACACCTCAGATGCTGATCACTAACGTCAGAGCTAGAGCAAAATGAAATGATAGGAACAGGGCTGAATTGTCTCCTATTTGGCTAGGAATTTGGGAGGTGGGGGTTATTTTATTCCAAAAAGGAAGATTAGCAATCACATGGAGTCATCTTGATCTTCCTTTTTTACAGTCATTAATCTATTTTTGGAGTGAGAATGACAAAGACAGAAAGGAGTAAAAGCATGATTGCTGCTATACCCCCATTGACACAATTTAGATCATTTAGGAGGCAGACGTACGAGCCTGCATGTCAGGGTCAACCCGGCTGAAAGGAATACAACTTTACAACTTCCCAGAAGATAGACCAAGATACTTGATTAGTGATACAGCAATCAGTGCCTATGACTTATAAGCAGCACCACATATACATGTATACTGGTGCAGAAAGGAGTGTATTTTAAAAATCAAAATTGTCTTGTGTTGGATGACATTATTGTTTTTTTCTGGGTTTTTTTTTACAAGGAAATGCTTGTAGTCGGACATTGATCTACTTTACTATTATGGATAAGTAAAACATATTTAAAAAATCAGATTTGAAGTAACGCAAAACCATTACATGGAAATTCATAGTTGCTTTGCTGTCATAAGTTCCCTTTGTCCTCCTCAGTACCTAGACCATCAGAACTCACCCCTCTTGCTCGTCTCGTACCTTCCTATCGGAGTCTCCGTGTTGGTTTGTCAAAGAAGCAAAAAGTTGCACATCTTCATAAACAGGGTAATAGAAAGATGTAGGCCTACTGATTTTGTGGAGAGACCTAACCGCACTTTCCAAATATGCTTCATTGAATCTGTTTCTACTGTTAGTGCATTAGAATGAGGTTTTAGTCTTTTTGTTTTTAAAGCAATTCCATCAAATCCTTTTCATTTTTGCAGCTATTTGTTGATGAATGTTCATATCAAGTTGCTTGTTACTTGTTATTGAAGATATCCGGTTAGTTGCAAGACGTAAGTGCTGTCCATAAAAGGAATGCATACAATTAGTACTGACCTATTTGTTGATTTGAATTAACTCCAGTTCTTTTCTTATTTCTTTCATGTAATGTTAAAAGTTACATTTATAGTTAGAATGGTTTGAATTTCTAAGACCTTCTTTGAGTTTGGTGTACCTATTTTAACTTTGGCGTTTAACTTTCTGTTTTTTTCCCGACGTTGGTTCTTTATTTGTGTGTGTGTGTCTGGAGAAAGGTCCCCGTTGTCGGAAATTTTGGACATTAAAATTAGGGCATACTCTTGTAGCACATTCAATGCTGAACGAGCTGATTTTTTTTCTTCAAATATCTTGATTAATTTTAAAGATATCCGACATTTTGCAATACAGGTTGTAAAATCAAAGTTTGGAGAAAAATGGTTTTAACCTTATTTCTAGCACATTTTTAACTTTTGGTGAAGTAGATATACAACATAATTAATTTTAAAAAGTACTTCCAAAATGTTATGAAATGAATAAACTTGTATTTTCTAAGGGAACTAAATTTTTAACCACGTATGACTTTTTTTTGGCCTTTTCGCCCCGTTGCTAAAAAATAGCTTTGTCAACAACTGGGACCTTCCTCCAGGCACACACGCATTTTTTTTCAAATATCAAGTTTATGAAGATGACTTGCTGAGGCCTCAAGCATTTCTGTGATACCTGTAAATACAAATAAGTTCCTAATTGATCCGTTTGATTATAGTAACTGTGTGCTGTTTGCCGCCACACTTAAATATTGACCTACTCCACACGGGGGGGGGGGGGGGGGCACCCTGAAAGTCCCGATTGGGCTCAAAACAATGGATTTTAAGTTGCAGGCTTTTTAAGCTTCTTCAGCCTCTCTTACAATTATTTCTTCGTATAAGAACGAACCCCATAAAGCTTTATTTCTTCCCATACTGGGCATATTTGTCATCACCATTTCCTCATAAAGTCAATCTTTCATTTTTCTTTATCGCCCGTTTTCTTGAAACTTGGTTTTTCTATATCCTTTAAAAAAACCTGCACCATTTTTCATTCAATCTTCATGAAATTTTCACAGAATGAAGAAAAGATGAAGTACTAAAAATCCGCTTGGTGAATTTTTGATATAATTAATAGTAATAGTTTTTTGTTGGTGGTATTTGGAGTGTGGATTTTCACAAATGTTTTGCACACGTGAAAAAAAAACTTAAATTTTAAAAAGTAAGTTTAGGAAAAATTCATCTCACAGATTTGTAGATGGCTGATTTTAAGACTCCTTACTATGCTTATTATATGTGTGAAATTTGATAACATTTGATCCACTAATAAGCGAGATATCCTTCAGCTGGCACGCCAGCCCCCTCTGAAGTTTATAATTGATACATTGCATTACTCTGTATATAATGTTTTTGCTCAAATGCTTGGACTTTGTATGTTTACTCTTCTCAACGTTTGCATTTCAATTTATTTGGAAAGTACAAGTCCATAGGTGGTTGGCGGGTGGTTTGATGTGGTAGTTCCTTCTTTCCTTTCAAACCCCTAATGTCCTTATTTTTCGTCTTTTAAAAAATTGTTTACTCTCTTGTGACACTTCCAATCTTCGGCACTTATTTGATCTTATTATGTTGCAAGTGATGTAAAACTGTTCCTTAAACTAAAAGTGCAAGTCTGTGAAAGTAGCTTGCAAGCCCTGAAGCATTTCTGTGATACCTGTACATACATTCAAATGGTGGGAAGACCTATACGCTACTTGCAGCCACGCTGAAGAGTGTATAATTGACTCAACATATTATTCTTTCATTATTTTGCCTTTATCTTTAATTTTGTTTAATCAACATGTCTAAATTGCAAATTAAAAAGGTGTCATTTTTGTATTTCTATGACACCTTTCAAATTTGATAAGACTTATTTCATAAGTTCAAGTTAATGTTTGTTTTTTCTTGTTGGCGTTCATGAGTTTTTAAAGAATTGTCAAGTCTTGAGATGGCTTGCAAGGTGCCTGAAGTATTTCTGTGATAGCTGTACATACAATTTTGTATCTGCCAACTGTTAAAACATCATGGCATAGTTCTCTTGTTAATGCTATCTGTTATTTTACTTTACTAATTGATTTGTAAATCTGTGAAAAGTACGATCATAAATGTATTGTGGTTTTATGCTCCTAATAATTCATGTTCGAAGTTGTTCTCTCACTTTTATTTGCAAGATGCTCTTATCGACTCGAAAACCTCATGTATGTGTGTAATGTTAGTGTACATGCGTGGGTGCGTGCACGCTTGTCTGCCTGCCTGCCGCCTGTATGTGTTTGAGTGTATGTGTGTGTGTGTGTGTGTGTGTGTGTGTGTGTGTGTGTGTGTGTGTGTGTGTGTGTGTGTGTGTGTGTGTGTGTGTTTGTATTTATGCATGTGTATGTGCGAGTGTGTGCATGTGTGTGTATTTCTCATGATTTTGAGAAAAATTAGCTAGTTTGGCCATATAACGAAACTGGTCCGCCTGAACTCTCAAGCTTGGCTGAGTTTCCTTGCAGCTTGGGTGTGGGCGGGAGCTTCCTTCACATTGTAGCTGGAATGACAGAGACGTCCGCGCCTGTGTCGGTCTTGAAATCGACCTCTGTCTCGCCAACTTTCAAGGTGATGCGCCATAGAGGTTCTTGGTCATCAACGTTGCCCAGGCTTCCCAGGAAGTACAGTGAAGCCTCTCTATAACTACTATAAGGACTTTCCATTTAACGACATTCCTCTTTATTGCGACACAGTGCCCAGGTCCCGATTTTTTTCCTTATATCATTAGATCGAGTAATTTTTTGGCTCGTTTTCTTTAACGACAACTCTCTCTATATAATATTTTTTCTAGTTCCGACAATTTCGTTATGGAGAGGCTGCACTGTATGTGGCCTCTGGGGCTTCTCTTGCATTGACCATGTCAACTTTCTGGGGCGATTGACAAGCTGCCTTGAAATGATTGTACTTGTGGCATGCACTGTATCGTTTTCCCCTTGCTGGGCATTCTTGCCCTATTCCATGCGCCACAGTTCGGACATTTCCTTCCTTGTTCTCAATATTTGCATTTCAATTTATTTGGAAAGTACAAGTCCGTAAGTGGTTGGCGGGTGCCTTGATGTGGTTAATTCCTTCTTTATTATCAAACATCTGATGTACTTATTTTTCCTCTTTTTTTTCATTTAGTTTTTACTATATTGTGACACATCCAATCTTTGGCACTTATTTATTGATCTTATTATGTTGCAAGTGATGTAAAACTGTTCCTTAAACTAAAAGTACAAGTTGCGAAAGTGGCTTGCAAGCGCTGAAGCATTTCTGTGATACCTGTACATACATTCAAATGGTGGGAAGACCTATACGCTACTTGCAGCCACGCTGAAGAGTGTAAAATTGACTCAACATATTATTTTTTCATTATTTTGCCTTTATCTTTAATTTTGTTTAATCAACGTGTCTAAATTGCAAATTAAAAAGGTGTCATTTTTATATTTCTATGACACCTTTCAAATTTGATAAGACTTATTTCATAAGTTCAAGTTAATGTTTGTTTTTTCTTGTTGGCGTTCATGATTTTTTTTATAGAATTGTCAAGTCTTGAGATGGCTTGCAAGGTGCCTGAAGTATCTCTGTGATAGTTGTACATACAATTTTGTATTTGCCAACTGTAAAACATCATGGCATAGTTCTCTTGTTAATGCTATCTGTTATTTTACTTTACCAAGTGATTTGTAAATTTGTATGTGAAAAATATGCTCATAAATGTATTGTGGTATTATGCTCCTAATAATTCATGTTCAAAGTTGTTCTCTCATTTTTATTTGCAAGATGCTCTTATCGACTCGAAAAGCTCATGTATGTGTGTAATATTAGTGTACATGCGTGGGTGCGTGCACGCTTGTCTGCCTGTCTGTCGCCTGTGTGTGTGTTTGAGTGTATGTGTGTGTGTGTGTGTGTGTGTGTGTGTGTGTGTGTGTGTGTGTGTGTGTGTGTGTGTGTGTGTGTGTGTGTGTGTGTGTGTGTTTGTATTTATGCATGTGTATGTGCGAGTGTGTGCATGTGTGTGTATTTCTCATGATTTTGAGAAAAATTAGCTAGTTTGGCCATATAACGAAACTGGTCCGCCTGAACTCTCAAGCTTGGCTGAGTTTCCTTGCAGCTTGGGTGTGGGCGTGAGCTTCCTTCACATTGTAGCTGGAATGACAAAGACGTCCGCGCCTGTGTCAGTCTGGAAATCGACATCTGTCTCGCCAACTTTCAAGATGATGCGCCATAGAGGTTCTTGGTCATCAACGCTGCCCAGGCTTCCCAGGAAGTACCTGGGGTTGTCTGCCCACTGCATCCAAGCTCGCCCGTGGCAGCCTTTTGCTCGTTTAATAGTGACTTCACTTGCTCGTATTGACGGGCTCGACTGATGGCTTGTTGTAGTGTCAAGTCTGCTTGTAGTTGCAGTATCTCGCTGAGTTCTTTGCTCAATACCCCACTAATGAACTTGTCTCTGATGGCTTCCTCCTTTGAGGGTACTTCTGCCACTGCAGCGAGTTTGTACAGTGGTCTGATGTAAGTGTCAATCGTTTCACCAGGCTGCTGACTGCGCCCGTAAAACCGAGCGCGCTCATGTACGATGTTACGTTTCAAATCGAAGTAACCATCAAACTTTTGACAACTTGATCAAAGGTCTGTCGATCGTCTTCTGTCAGCCCAAAAACTCCCTAAAATTTTCTCTGCGTTGTCGCCCATTGCGCATATGAGCTGGCTTATTTCTATGAGGTTTGCTTTCTTATCCTGTTCGGTAGCTATTGCGGAATCTTTTGAACTTCTTTTCCCAATCCTCCCACTGAGAGGGGTACGCAAATGTGAACTCGAGAGTTAAAGTGTTGATTTTTTATCATATCTTCTTTCCTGGATTGATAACAACACCGTAACTTCATTTCACTTTTCAGTGTTTTTTTTCCTTCGTTTTATTTTCCTTAGGTCTTTACATTTAACCATTAAGCCCTGAGAAGTTCCTTCTTTGACTCCACATAGGACTCTTGGACATTGATAAAATCTAGTTAAAACCAGGATGAAAAGACTGCTTTAACAACTGCAACACTTGTAGTAACTCTGTAACTACACATACTGTACTCACCTCTTTTTACCAGTCAATACCATCATTTTTTTATGTTTTGATACATGTATTCTCACTACACGTAGCATACATTATGCAGATGACTTTCTACTAGTCAATGCCCAGTGTGTTAATGTTACTCAGCGTGTTTACTAAAGCTTAAATAACACAAAAAGGTGATCCTTGAGCCAATACCATTGCCGTGGCATGCGGATCCTCTACTACTATTGATTATGGAGTTATTGTATTGAACAGTTAATGTCATGTGAAAGGTTCTGTTGAAATGAAGAAACATGTTGCACTTTTACTACTTTTAGAAATTCATTGTTCAGTGTTGTTGTAATTTAATTTTCAGAGCTGATTTTGTCAAGTTGTGATTTCCAATATTCATCGTTCCTGTTTCATGAATATGTTGATGTTAAATTTTAAAGTTTAATAAAAGCGTTTACTGCAATAACATATTCAATTCTCAATGTTTATTTATCCAGATTGATATATGAGAAGACTGTTTTGAAATTTTCCGATCCTGTCTTTCCTGCCGTGTCTTCCCCTACCAATCAAAGGTTTCCTTGCAGTCTTTCTTATGCTGGGTCTTTCTTTCTCAAATATTTGTATTTTTTTCAAATTGCCATGTCTTTGTTTCTATTATTAGGTAGGGGAGGACTTAAAAGT